GACAATCTTTTGTTACGGCCTTGGCCTCTAGTATTTAACTCTGACACTCAGTGCCGTACTCAGCTGAACTACATTCAAGTTTTCACTCAAGTTTGCGCTGGGATTATCCATGGTTCTATACGATTTTCGTTAATTCATTCGTATTACTCTATTAATACTTGATTGTATCCCTTCGGTTCCCTTTGCTTTTCATATAGGTAGAATTTTAATATTGTCAAAATCAAATACGTTACGCTGAAATTTAGTATTTTAAATGAAAATGATTTGTTACGCTGATCGAATGGGACACGAAAAACTTACACTGGCGGCGATGATCGCTATAATTCCTAAATTACAATGATATTACTATTGGAAATTCATAAACGAATGCAGTGTTTGAGAGAAGTTGCTATTATCTATATGCCTATCAACAAAACAAAGCTTGTATTATTGAAACTACCTAGATTTTAACTTAGAAGTTTAAATTACAACATTCTAGTTGATCAAAGTCAAACAATCATATAGTCCATTGATTCCATTGGTAAAATATTACACTTGAAAACACCATTTTATATGATACTTTGAATGTAAGTTTTAAACTTAGGAAATTATATTCTTAACGTATACTCCGTAATCATATTGTAATAAAACCATGTACCTACGGTTCCCCATAAAAGAATCTTTAACTTTAATGATCCCGTACATACTTATAAACGTAAGCAAATCATAATCTGTATTTCAGGTGCGATTGGGTAACTACGATTGTCTGATTTCGGTCATCTGTTATGATAGGTTAAACTAACCGTGACCATGGGACCTGTAAAGGGCCCGAAACGTCGATTTGTTTGAAAAAACAAATATACGCGATTTAAATCCGGAAAAATAGTTTCATTTCCTAGGTTAAATTAATTTTTTTACCAATCTTGGTTGATACGTTGAACCTATATCGCTGCTTAAATCTGTGTTCCTTCATGTCGTACTGGTCTTGTAGGTCTTTCAACATCCGAAGCAATTGAGTATGATATTCATCATTGATATATTTTGTTAAAGATCAAAACTCTCAAATGGTTTCATCGTAATATTGTATTTTTTTCGCCAATAATTATGTACTTAAGCGCAACTAGGACCTCACTCAAGTGAATATAGATTTGGACAAAACTACACTCAAGACAAAATTTTAGAGTTGAGTACGATTTAGGAATCAGCAAAGTTGAATCGAATCTCAAGCATTGTTTAAAAATAAGCATCAAGCTGTCACTTCCTCTGACATTACTCAGGTGAACTCCGATTACAGATTCTACGCTTGAGTAATATTCTGGAATAAAAACTCTGCTTGAAACCATACTCAAGTCCTGATTTGAGCATTGAGTTTTGGAATACGACCCTTAGTCAGTAGGTATAGTGTTCTGTGCTCTTAGTAAGTGGATCTAATGACACGTTTAATATTATGAATATAGTATAATATTACACGTAGCAGGTTAGTTATATTTTAAGTTATTAGAAAACATTTATAATATTGATAGAATAGTAATAAAATGTGAGACTATTATTGCATGAACTCAAGCCAATAAACAAGAATCAAAATCGAATCAAATAAGCGCGCCGAGACATCCACCCGCTGCCGTCCACCAATCACAGTACAGATGCTAGACATTTTGTTTCGTAACGTTTAAATTTGAAAACTTGTTGCGAACGTTGGTTGATGTGCAGCGAGATAATAATTTGTATTTTTACGTTTATTGTGAATTCTTGGTATAATTTTAGATTAGTTGTGTTGTAACGCAATCTGATTAAGTGTGGAAAATATATGTGGTCGTAGTTTTTATTAAAAGTTGGCATTTGTGAAGTTAACAAGATGAATGAAATGCCACCAGAAGTAGCAAAATTATGGTAAGTTTCTCGTTTTTCATGATAAATAGTGATAAGTTTTGTTTAATTACTCGCTTTGAACGAATAAATGTATACGTAGTGCCGAAGTTTTGCTTCAAAAACAACATTCTCTAGATATACCACGGACGCCGGTTGACGCCCTTACTCACATAATAACGAAACCCATGACATGAAATCCTTGTATGTTTATTGCTGGTTATTGATATTATACATATATCTTGCAATCGCCGTATAAACACAGAATAATACCTATATGTTAACTTTACTAATAAAATACCTACACTTTGTATCTAAATCTATAGTCGTCCTTGTTGCATAGATTTTAGAATATTATGTAGGTAGGTGCCATAAAATGTAACCGTTAAAATTCGTTGTCATACTATGTACAAAACACTACTTTTAATATCAGAGGCAAACAAACCGCTAATTTTCAGAAATTGTTAATTTAGGTAGGTACTGTGGTACTGATAAGTGGACATAATTATGACTAGACAACCTGCAACATTTCTGCTATTAAATAAAACTATACTATGTATTTTTGGCCTCAAGCGTAAGTGCAGACTGAGAGTTTTATACATTATAAATTTTTGTAGTCATGATGTTCTGCAAGAAATCACCCAGAACATCCGTCTCATGATGGAAGAGCTCTGGCAAAGCTGGTCGCATCTGGGTGTGGATGACCAAACAAAAATCAGTTACATCACTGAGCTTGTTCCGATTGAGAAAGAGTTCCATCGAGATGTGATCTCTGAGACCCGACAGAAAATAAAGGCTATGGAGGAAACTATTAGTAGTGAGTTTTTTATGCTTTCTATTGTGTGTACTATTTGTAATGGACATAACTTGCAATTTTGATACAAATATTATTTATGTTACAACAAGAAGATTAAATCCTGAATCAGTCTAGATAATATTAAATTACATCTATTGGTGCTAAGGGGATAGTGTAAGGTAACCAACTTGAAGGTGACCATGGCTTATTTACTTGTACATCTGGAACCATAATGTCACCACCTTTTAAGAAGGGTGTGTGGGAACATTGTTTTCACATAATGTAGGCACTTTGGAGAGGTAGTAATAATTACGTTCACAGATGAATTTTGCCATTCTGAAAATCATTATGTAGTTTATGAAATGGAAACAAATCTGAGTTATAATTATTACAAATTATTATGTATTATAATTGTATATGTTGCCATGTTTGCTAGGTGTAGCTTTATATGTAGTAAAGATAGATGCTGCAGCTCAACAAAAAAAAAAATTAAATAAACAAAAATTAAGTTATAGACAAGCATTTGACTATGTTCTCAAATCATAACAAGTAATGATGACAGCAACAAGAAGATGAACAATTATTTCTAATCACTTTAGTCAACGAGTATTTATATCTTATTATTAATCATTGTAGAACTAAAAGAAGAAGCAGAAGAGCTGAGTAAATACCTAGCAATGGATATCACAGTACTTGAGTTCAAAGATAACATGATGATGATTGAGTACAAGGATGAGTTGGAAAAGCAAATTGCAGGGTAAGAGATTGATACTTTCTTCGTATGACCAGGTTCTATTTGTTGTTGGAATTGGCAATGGCCTATGACATCTTCCCTTATTAGCTTACAATTGTCCATTTTGACCACTGCTTAGCAGCAGGACATAGGTTGGTTTATACAGTGCAGTTTTTTTTATAATATGAATTGATGACACGAACAAGTTGTTCCAGATGGGAAGCTACACGCCTGTCCATAACAGTTGCAGTGCCACTCAGAGCTTTAAATCGCAAAGATCTGAGGGGCACTGCCATTACGCTCGTCACTCTGAGACATAAGTTGACAAGTCCCATGTGCCTGTAATTTTACCAGCACCCTTACCCTTCAAAACTGTAACGCAGTAATAGTAACTACTGCTAGTAAATTACTGCTAGGTGGCAGAATAGGTAAGGTGGCAGTAGTTCCTTGGAAAAACTCTTTCACAATGAGCTCTACTGCTGCGTATGCTGGGCATAGGCCTCCAAACCAAAAAGACGATCACTATAGTCGCTAGGCAACTGGGATATTGCAGTAAAAATGACTAATATACACAAATCAAGTTTTAGCTAATGCCACTTATTATTAAATGAAACTATTTTTGTTTTCAAACAAATATAGAATCTCGTATATACATACGTTTTTTCAAACAAAGCAATATTTCAGAATTTTCACAGGTTCCAGTCACATGTAAAGAGCCTGAAATTTGATTTGTTTGGAAAAACAAAAATACGTAATTTATATCTGAATAAAATTGTTTTATTTTCTAATGTACACAAGAACTTTACTAATTAGCTCTGGACATAAATAGGGGTGGTCCTAATTTAGCTGAGACTAAGGTGCACATAACAAGCATTTTTTTTGTCATGACCAGATATAGAGATCAAGTACGAGAAAGAAAAATGAAGATGGAGCGTCTCCTGGAATGGCAACGTGACCTAGTTGACAAACTGGGCGTTACTATCCATGAGCTGCAGGATATTCCTCTGCCCTCTGAAGAGGATCTCGATAAGTTCAAAAATCACCTCACTGTGCTGCAAGCAGAGAGAGACAAGAGGGCTGAGATTTTTCTTAATACACAAGTTGAGGTTAAGGATATTATGGGTAAGTAATTTATTGTAATGACAATTTTCCTTTTTTAAATCAAATGAATCATGTCAAACAAGCTATGGGCAAAGAGCGCCATGGAGTGGCTCCAACATTAGCCAGAGGCATAGAATTCCCAGGAGTTGTGACAAGCTACATGCTCATATGAGTTCTTACACTTAGTAGCGTTAAATCGCGATGAGTGAAGGAATTGAGGTCTGCGCTGCAGTGAGTTGGATAGTAACAGATGAAGAAATTCAGACACAGCTTTCAGATATAAGGTTATTAGGCTTGTTATAATTGGTTTGTTATCAAAGTATCTCTTGCTGTCACAGAACACCTTCAGATCAAGCCTCAGAATAAATTCGAGAATATAGTGGTGAGCTCCCTGTCTGTGGACTTCAAAGTGACTGACCTCAACATGGATCGACTGGCCAAGCTACGCCAGGACTTGCAGGAGAAATTCCAACAGACTAACAACAGGGTATGTACCGCCTTATTATCTCTGATATAGGGTACATGAACATTATTAAAACAAGTATTATATATCAGACAGGTCAGTACTAGTATACTATATCATACAGCCATGTGAGAGAGGAAAGACTGCAATCTAAATAAACAGAGTTTATACTCAAGAGGTGACCTCAAAAACATAAGAATTCTATTGGGTGGTTGTACGCTAAATAGGAGTCAAACACAGCTGAAATTTCTTTACCTATCTGTAGGTATTGGAGCTACGTGAGCGTTTATCAAAGCTATGGGATTGCCTAGAAGAGGACCAGATTTACCGCGACAATTTCTTGCAAGCGCATAAGGGCTGCAATCCACAGACTGAAGCTGCCATCAAAGAGGAGATTAAGCGGTGTGACCAAATCAAAAGGCAGAAGATTCAGGTATACAGAACTAATATCTTTCAAATTCTTTGACTTTCTAATGATAAATAGATAATACGTTTACTGCTTGCTTTACATACATTAGATTACTTATTACAAAGGATTATAAAACAATGCAGAGAAAAACAGGTACAAAACAAAAATTATAATTAATAGAGAAATCAAACAATCCTACAAAAAATCCATATTTAAACTACCTACTTTAATTGACATGCAATACATAAACTTAAATTAACACATATTAATAATATATAAACAATTTAACTAGGTTTATGCCTGAGCCACAGATGACTTTTAAACACTTTTGATTCTGTCTTAACCCGTTATGGTCTCAAGACCGGGTTTGTTGCGAAAATCAGCATCCGCATTCGCGGATAATCAGCATAAATTAATATATCCGCAGCAGCATCCGCATTCATACATGCTAATACTGATTGTGATTGTTCGAGGCGTGACATGACCCAAAAATCACGCTGGAATGACATAAAAGCCTTCCAGAAACACTGTAAGCCAAAAAAGTAGCTCAGCTGTTTTTTTAAATGAGATGGATAAAATTTCAGAACGATTATGTTGGGCAGATTAATTGTTTTCATGCAGATTGATTCTTTTCTTAATAAATGTCACAAAATCATTGAAAAATATTTTATTATAATACCAAAGAAATTAGAAAGCTTTTTCATATAGATTCAGTAAGCATGTACATTTTTCGCGTTTTGATAATACATAAAATCAGCGTCCGCGTCAGCTTCCGCTGATATGTAAAAAGCCTACATCAGCAACAACCCTTGTCAAGACTACAGAATACTAATTCAACATGAATCGCGATTTTTGTTTTTGAGTGCTTAAGAGTATACTACCTCACCAATCAGAAACATACCTATCAACTGATAGAAGTCCCTACTGGCCAGAGTACACTACAGAGTCTACATTACAACAACAACAACAACGCACATACTCAACATAGCCCCGCACTAGGGAAACCCTGTGTCGCGGTTACCATGGATACACACATAGACAACCACAAATTACACCCAAACTCACGAGATAAATAAACGTAGGCCATACAAATATTTCCCCCGGCCCGGGAATCGAACCTGGGATCTCGGCGTGGCAGTCCGGCATGGTAACCGTTCGGCCACTGAAGCAGTCAATTTAATTATTATTATGATTATATTATAATTAAATAATTACTCCACATTGTATGAATACATTTAATGAATGACTTATTCATTGATTATGAATAGAAAGATCGAACACAGAAAAATTTCGTCAACACGTAGGGACTTGAACCCACGTTCATGCTTCATCCGAAACTGGACCCGTAGCTCACTTGATAAAGAGCAATGCTACGGTGCAGCATGGACGTGCGTTCAAGTCCCACCAGGTCGACGAAAAAAATTTTCTATGTGTTTGTTTGTTTTTGTATTCATAATAATAACAAAACGAGTGCAGATGTTTCACAAAAAATATATACTTATTCATTGTCACCTTTATTACCTCAATATTATCCAATGTTGAGCATAGATCAACTACCTTCGTGGCCGAACTGTTACCACGCCGGACTGTCACGCAGGGGTCCCAGGTTCGATTCCCGGGCCGGGATAAATATTTATATGGCCTACATTTATTTATCTCGTGACTTTGGGTGTAATTTGTGGTTGTCTATGTGTGTGTCCATGGCACCCGTGTCACAGGGTTTCCCTAGCGCGGGGCTTTAAAAAAAAGTGTGATGGACAGCCAAAATTTCTTTCGGTCCTTGGGTTCCACTCCAGTAACAAACTTCTTACCATTGTCTCTATGCTCTACACGCATGACCAGTCTATCCACTTTATAGTAGCTGTTACTTTAAATCACAACTGATTTGTTGTTCATTTCTTAATTATTTGTCATAGGTGTTCGTAGCGAATGTCCGCACTAAGATAAAGCTGATGTGGGACAATGTGATGTACTCACAAAAACAGCGCGAAGAATTCGTTCATTATTATCAAGACATATTCACTGAAGACACTCTCACACTTCATGAGTTGTATTTCGACAAGATTACCAGCTATTATAATGAGCACAAGTGAGTAATTTAATTTTGCATTATTGTTGATGATGATCAGAAACTTTCGAATACAGACAACAGTATGAAAATGTACACTACGAAAGCTATCTTAAGGAATAGGAGGTAAAGGACAAGAAAGCTGATGAACCTATGTTTTTTTTGTGATACTATATGTCGGGACGAACAAGCCGTGTGATTGATGGTAAGCGTCATACCTGTCCGTCATCCTGAGACATAAGTTAACAAGTCCTATGTGCCTGTAATTTCAACAGCACCTTAATCCTTCAAAACCGGAACGCAGTAATGCTCACATTACGGCGGTAGAAATAGTTAAGGTGGCAGTATTTCCCTGCACAAACTCTTTCACTCTTGTGAGCTCTACTGCTGCTAAATAATAATCTTGTTTGTCCGCTGTAAATTACAGCTTGTAACCTGTGTCGCGTTTTTTAGAAGAGACATGTATGTGTTTAAGGCCCATTTAGATGGGGAGAGTTTCTCGCACGCTTCGAGACGAAAACTCGTAGGCGATTCTCGTAAGCAATAATCGCCATAAGATTATCGTATCATAATGTTTACATTCAGGCAAGAACTAAAATCTCGCCTACGATTATGTCATACGAGACTCGTAAGCAACTTAATCGCCTCCTCGACTGTTTACACGGAGAAATATGTAGTAAGGAGATTCTTGCTTACGAGTTTTCGACTTGTCTAAACACGATGTCGTATGACATTTTTTCAAGTTCATACGATTATCGTACAAATCGGTTCGAACCGTTTTGAGTGCGAGAATTGCCATTCGAGTTCAGTGATTACTGCGGTATTGATTATGGATATATCAAAATGACGCAAAAATCATTCAAATTTGGAACTCCTGATAATATTAAGTTCATTGCACTGTATAGAAATATAATTTTGATTTATCATTTTTTTTTAAATTATATAACTACTGACACAAACAAAACTGACAATTATGATAAATTTATAGGGCGAGTGAGTGCGTGTGTGAGTGCGTGAGTGACTGAGTGTGCGAGTGAGTGCGTGCGTGCGTGCGTGCGCGCGGGCGTGCGTGCGTGAGTGAGTGAGTGATGAGTGAGTGAGTGAGGGGTGAGTGAGTCAGTGAGTGGTGAGTGAGTGAGTGGTGAGTGAGTGGCTGAGTGAGTGAGTGTGTGAGTGGTTAGTGAGTGAGTTGTAAGTGAGTGGGTGAGTGAGTGAGTGAGTGAGTGAGTGAGTGAGTGAGTGCGTGAGTGAGTGAGTGAGTGAGTGGTGAGTGAGTGAGTGAGTGAGTGAGTGGTGAGTGAGTGAGTGAGTGAGTGAGTAGGGAGTGAGTAGGGAGTGAGTGGGGAGTTAGTGAGGAGTGTTTATTGAAAAGTACATTTACTTGAAAAGTCGTGTCGGCCATCTTGGATTTAGAAATAAATGCTATGTTCGTAATGAGCACCCTCAAATACCTCAAAAACGATACCCAACTTGCCATTATTTGAAAAGTGCGGGCACGACTTTTCATCCTGGATTTAGAAAGGAGTGCCATATTCGTTACGAGAGCACCCTAAATACTATATTGCCCACGCTATATTCGACCACAGAGGCACTCACTCACTCACCGTTATTTGAAATTTTTTTTCGCTCTTGTTCCATTAATTCTTGTCTTAGAAAAGCAGTGATAATCAAAACACCCTCGCGCGCTGCACTCGTGGTAGAAACGGCTGGCACAGAAACTCGAAATACGATTTTTGCTTTCGAGTTCTGTTTACACGGAGACGTTATATTGAAAGGCGAGGAGATTATCGCTCACGTGGACGGTCGATAATCGCAAATGTTTAGACGAGGAAAGTTTTTTTATATTCTTTCGATAATCGTGTCTTCGAGACGAGAAACTCTCCATCTAAATGGGCCTTTAGACACCAGTAAGAAAGTGATTAGGAGTACAATATATAAAATGATATTTTATTATAGTTCATAAAATATCATTTCATATACTGTAGAAGTCAGTAATTACGTTCTTGTAAGTACGTTTTTAACACATAATGTATTTTAATATCTTCATTTACAACCCTTTTTAAATATGTAATTAATAACACGTAACATGTCTGCCATACTTGATAAATAGTAGTAATTACCTGTGATTACTGAGCTGAACCCAGTGATGTGTTACACGCAATGCTTGAATTAAATTACTAATATTGGAATTTCTGTTTTAGTGACTTTGAAATAAAAGCTTTTCCGTCACTAATAGCGAATAAAAGTACGTATGTATGTACAACTGCCTCCGTGGCTGAACGGTTACCATCCTGGAATGCCACGCAAGACATCCCGGGTTCCATTCCCGTGTCGGGAGGAATATTTGTATGGCTTACATTTATTTATTTCGTGAGTTTGGGTGTAATTTGTGGTTGTTTATGTGTGTGTCTATGGCACCCGCGATGCAGGGTTTCCCTAGTGCGGGTCTATGAGTGTGTGGGCGTTATTATTTATTATTATTACTATACAAATAAATCTATAAAAACAATTTTTGTACTTTCTCTAAATATTTAGCATTAACTCCCTAACATATGCCAATTTACTATTTATATGTAATAATGCTGATTTGATTCTGTTTTAAGTAACTTTTTTTGTTCAGATGTATCTTCGAATTGGTCCTGACACGCAAGAATCTTTGGCTAAAGATGACTGAGTTGGAAGCTCGCGCTTCGGAACCTGGGCGTTATCACAACCGTGGAGGGCAGTTGCTAAGAGAGGAGAAGGAAAGGAAATCGATAGCTAATAAGGTAAGACACATAATACTTGAAGATTTGCTCGGTTTGTTGAGCTTTTAATATAGCAGTTCACTTGTGTGGACCTATTAAGAATGATACTTTGACCCAGCGACCCGAAGTAGATATTGGCCTCTGATGCAAAGGAATAAATAATAATACAAAGATCTTGAATTAGTTTCTATTATGGATACAGTAGGTTGGAATTGCTGAAACAATTTTTGTCCCTTTATTATATTTTGAATCTCTGATGTTTATAAACAAGGATTTTATTGCCATGACGGACATGTAGTTACCGTTTATAGCTTGTTGAAAGTTATTTGGAAACCTCTTTGAGATATTTAGAGTTTATCCAGAGAAGTGCTCCCTCAATACCTACTTTCGTCGCTATGCTGCAATATGAGCATTACTGGGCTGTACTTGTAAAACTACAGGCACATGGAACTTGTCAATTTTATATGTTAGGATTTAAACCTTTGAAAAGCACTGCAACTGTTAACGATAGGCATGTCTAGTACAGCTAAAAAATTAAAAAAATAAATATGTAAGTGTATGTCAGAATATGATATATACTTAGTAGTTATTACTAAGCGTTACCTCAGTAAATTCTGGACCTTATTTATAAAGATTTTTTGTTTTGTATTACAGTTGCCTAAAATCGAAGAACAATTGCGTGAGTTAGTGACAGAGTATGAGGCGAAAACTGGTAACACTTTTACAGTCGACGGCAAACCTCTATTGCAACTCATGACTGACGAATGGGAGACCAGAAAAGCGGTGCGCATGTTTATATCGTTGTTTAAAATATTTCATATTTTAGTAAGAAATTCTTTCGTATTTTAGTAATGGTCGTTTTAAGATCACTATGGATTTACTAAAGGAACATCTAACATTATTATTTTATATTTATTTATTTATTTAGTTCAGGTCACATGATCAATATAATACATATCTACCTTAAGGACTAATATACACACGATATAATAAAACTCTATTTCTAACTAATCTACACGAATTGCACTTTTCGGCGACGTGTGACGCAATCTGATGCCAGGTGAATTGCCGCGGAATCGCGAATTCTTCCTTGTAGAGTGTGTGAGGGTATATTTGGCTTTATGCCTGATGGTTCCACCATCTCCTCAGACTTCGTACTGCAGTCGTGACAGGTGTAGCAGCGTCGTCGGTATGGCCGGACGCAGCAGGTAGTTCGATATTGTCGGTACTGTGCCAAACTGGTTACGGCTGGTGGGCTTCCTCTTCTCTATCTTTGTGAAGCCGTCTTCGTCGCACCGGCTCGTCTACCTTTGTGGTTTTGCAACTTCAGAGCTAGGCACACGGGTATTGCTTTTCCCCTTGGCAGATAGCCGTCACTCGAGCTTTAAAGTGGCGGGTCAGCTAATTTAAGCGTCTACAACGGCGTATGCGCGTTTAGGGGGTTTACACTACTATGATAATAATTCATAATTGTGTGTCGCCTTTGTGTCGCTTACTATTTATATTAAAATTTATTTTTAATTACAGAGGCAATAAGAATGAGGTGACTATAGTTTACTAATGTAAATATTTTAGGAATTATTCAAACCTCCTTTTGTCGTTGCATAAAAGCGAAACTTCTTTAATATTTGGTTATTTATATATTTCTTTGTGATTGTATTTGGAAAGACAGGTTTTTTCTTGATGTATTTTTTATCTGAGAAATTTACCTTTCCGGTACTTGCCTTGTTCCTGTTTCTCAGATAACTCTAGGATTTAGACACCTTGCTAATGCAAACATGTGTAGGAGATTAGTATGGTATAAACTATATAGAATATACGAATAACTATATCGACACTGTTAATATTGGAGCATGGTTAATTATGTTTTCCTCACAACTTCTTGAAGACTGAAATAGGCAATGGCAAATCTCTTACCGAATTCAAACTGTTTCTGCTTCCATTACTTTATCTCATCAAACTTATATTTAGCATTACTTTTTCTAGGGTCTTAGAGAAAATAAATAATATAACGATGAATATACTCGCATAAATGCTTGTGAGTGATTTGTCTCCTGTTTAAATAGTCAATTTGTACTTTTTACAAAGGAAAGTTTCACATATTTCGGGAAATACAGGCAAAAACATGTTTCTTGAAGTTCAATGACCTTTCGAAATAAAAATTATATCTCCATAATAAAAGTAAATATCTAAATGGGTGTTTCTTAGTATAATTTATTAGGATTCAACCTATTGAAATAGAACATAAACCGAGGATGTCCGCAACTAAAGCAAAATAACACACTGTGCGCTCTGAACTGTAAATTAAATGACGATAGATAAAGCTACTCTAATTTCTAGTGATAATTAAAAAATCAATTAGATGGCGCTTATTGCACTGATTTTTACCGGATAATACCAGCTACTCTTATTTTTGTTTAGTATTAGTGTCATCTACCCATATTGGGAAACGTTAATTTATATATATATATATATATTAGTTCATAACACACAATGCCATTTATTGACACAAAATAACATTGTAATTAGCTCATGATCAATATTTGCATAATATTACAAGGAAAAAACTGACTTCTTCTATTTAATACTAAAGAAGAATTCATTGATATCCACGGCCATTTACAAAATATAAAGTACTTTCAGACTATTGATCAGCGCTATCCAGATATAAGACTGCCTCTGTGGCCGAACGGTTACCCTGATGAACTGCCACGCAGAGATCTCGGGTTCGATTCCCGGACCGGGAGAAATAGTTGTATGGTTTACATTTATTACTCCCGTGTGTTTGTCAATTTATCTTTATAAAATAATTGTTCAGTTCAGATTCAACAATTATTGTTTCCAAATCTTCGCTGTTTCATTTAAATAATTCTCTATAAAGATTGTGTAGTTGAATACTGTAGTCACTCTACAGGAGCGTCACAACAAGTTGTCGGCCCGCAAACAGGCGTTAACCCCTACGACGCCGCTGTTCCGCTCGATGGCGACGTCACCACTGGGCAAACGCAACCGTACCGCCGCCGGCCTCGCCGCTTCTGAACAGAAGAACAGGTGCGTTATGCCACACGTGTATTCGCTTTGCAATGCGTTAACAATTAATCGCACCCGATAAACCTGTAGTGCGAGTGTGACGTACATGTACGTTTAGTATTATTTGTAAAATCATTACTGTTTTAAAGTAACTTGATATAGTGGGTGCCCTTTTAGTATTGAGTAATTTTGGTGTTACGTCTTTGAAATAAATGACACTTAAAACATTCGTTTTGTGCCAAAGGTGTTCCTAATATTTTACTCTAGAAAATGATATAGTAAGAACAACAACTGACCATAGTTCTGACCATTTACTGCATGAACAAATTCACAGTATTCTTCCCTACACGTTACTCGAATACTCTTCTATTTGCTTTCGTCGCTTCGCCAACATTAAATATTCACAATAAGTAGTACTCTTGACTTATAGGCCGCCGGCAAAGCGCCAGTTGATCACGGGCAGCGCTACGAAGGCCGTAACCACGTTCGCCAACAACCTTTCGGCGCTGAAGCGATCCGCTGTAACTACAGTTAAGAGGTAAGATGCTATTTAAATACTTTAGATTGTTGTTATTTGGATCTGTCGTTTATATTATTGTATAAACGACAGATACATACCAAATGACGGGACGAACAAGTCGTGCGCCTGCTGTTAAGCGACACGCCTACCCATTACAGTTGCAGTGCCACTCAGAGCTTTAACTTACTTACTTACTTTAAACCACAAACGTCTAAGGGGCACTGCCACTGCACTTGTCCCACAGGTACGTAAGTTGACAAGTCCCATGTGCCTGTGATTTCACCAGTACCCTTGCCCTTCAAAACTGGAACACAGTAATGCTCACATTACTGCTTGACGGCTAAAGTGGGTTAAGTGGCGCAGTGGCAGTGCCTCTCAAATCTTTGCGATTGGAAGCTCTGGGTGGCACTGCAACTGTTATGGACGGGCGTGTAGCTTAAAATCAGGCGCACAACTTGTTCGTCCCGTCACTTGACATTATAAAAAAAACTTCCCTGGACGAACTCTTTCTCAAGGAGCTCAACTGCTACTAAACTTATATACGATACTAAGCATACTATTTTTTTACAGTTGGTAACAAAGATTTTGTTTCACGCATTAGTAATAAAATTATACACAAAGTTGGAAAATTGGAGAGGAATTGTTTTACAGACTTATAGTCAAGATGTGGAAACAATAAAGACGACTCTCTTTGCACTTGGACAAATTGAGAAATGTATTCATTGGAAATCTACGCCATATTAAAAAATACATTACCTATCTTCTGCGTTAAGCATTGTAACCGAAGTTTAAACATCTATTCCGTTACTAAATGCTGTAAACATTCGAATAAAATTCACACACGTATTTTTCATTCCTTCTTTCAGTGCTCGTTTGAATTGCGAAAGTTATGAAGCGAGAACGTTGCGTCACGAGAAGGCAAGTCTTCCCTGATTAGCGACAATAGCAATAAATATTAAACCCTGTCATACATTACGTTTAATTAGGCATTTGCAAATGTAGAGGGAATGAGAAATATGTACAGTTTTTCTCCATAGGTTCGCTTACATAGAAATCAACACTTAAAACTTGTATACTTTGTTGTATTGATAATTTATTGAAGTATGTTTGATTTATGTAATCGGAATCTTCCTCACCGTCGTCCGCCGTTTCAATATCTATTATTATTAGTATTTTATCATACAAGAAAAGAGCGTTAAAGAGAGCAAAATATTTTGAAAAAATTATTCAGCGTCCAATTTATTTACAATGAAATCTTGATTTGTTTTCGTTTCTACTTGTAATCTGGTAACTGTCGTTTAAACCGGGCTTACACGTTACAAGCGTGCGCAAACCGAGACTACACATCTGGGAGTCTACTCTCGTTCTCTGAAACAATTACTGCCAAATAAGTAATAGGGTCGAAACACAAAACTGCGATGCGACGCAGAAATCTATGAGCTCGCACGACGCATCGCAAGAGTTTGCGAATTGCCCGCATCGCGCATTCCTTCGATGTTAACCTTCGTTGTGTTTTTTTCCTATACTTTCTTATCAATAACAGCAGTGCAACACTCTTTTTACGATCCATGTCGCTACCTAGTTAAAAATAATCCGTTCAGTGCGGTTGGCGGTGGTCGAAGTAATGGTTACGGAAACCGTGCGTCTATTGATTTGGTCATGTATAACTTATTTGACAGTAATTGTTTTGGACGGAGTAGAGTTAGAAGTACAGGGCCTGATCCGAGTGCACACAGACATCGTCATCCGATCAGAGTTGATTAAATAATAAATAAATAATTTATTGTCTCAGAATAACATTTAAAAAAAATTATACGTGGCAAAGAAGTCAAAAAATTAAAAAACAAAACATTCAAAACAGTAAAAGTAAATTGAGACAAAAGGTATAGGCTCAGTTTATGCCGAAACGGCGATGGTAACGTGCGGCGCTGTTTTTCAGCCTCTGCCTACTCCCTTATGGTATTGGGCGGGAGTCATTGCTACGAGGGCTTTTATCTTATATCTATTCCTTATAACCTAGCTCGTAACGGTATCCAAAAAAAAAATGCTCGTAAGATTATAATTATAGTTATTGGCATAGTAATAAATTATTGTCTAAAAAAGGAAAAGAGAAAATAATACAAGTAAACAAGTTCATGGGGCTCGACATTGTGTGTATATGTGTGCGTGAGACTTGTCTTTTATTATTTCAATAGTTATTTATCTTAGGGATATGTGTCAAAAGTATTTTACTATTTTCAAGGTTTTACAGTAAGCATGCTTCAAGTTTTCTGCAGCAAGTTGTCGTCGTTAGTAATGTTGATTTATATTTTGCTTTAAAACTATTAATGCTCATTATTTAGGATAGTGTTCTATTTTCATAAGTCTACTCGAATAAATTGACAAAACAAAATGGCATTAAATGAGAAGATCAATCGTCATCTTGAAAACTGATATGTTGGGAGTAGCTTTGATAAATGATACTCGGAACCTATTGATCTCGTAATGTGTCAATTATATTCCGAGGACAATTCTAGTGCGAGCGAATTGGGTACGTGCGCGCTTGTAATGTGAAAACCCGGCTTCACTGACTATGGGTGAACGCAATCTGCAATGATAAGTTCCTTGATTTAAATTCATCTTCAATTTACTGAATACTAGTAGCATAGCTAAATATGACGAGTATACTGATTTCTAAATTTAGCAATTTGATTTTATCTATTTTATTATATTCAACCTAAAATATATTATTATGGTACTAAAATATTTTTACAGGCGTGTTAGCGGTCGTCTGGCAGCACGAGCCGTGGCCGAAGGCAAAGGCGATTACGTAAAGCGAAAACTGGACTACAACGGTCTTGTTAAGACTCCAAAAGTCAATGGCAGCATTCTCAAACATAAACGAAGGGTGAGGATACGATTCCTAAGGCGTAGATTGAATAATTTAAAACCTTACAGCTATAGTAGCGATTTTACCTAATGTTTGTCCATTCTTGACAAGCCTAAACTCAATTTTAACTCAGTTTTATTGACGCGTACCAATTAATTTCAACTACACAATGGATTTAGTTCAAGTTACTCACACCATTTCCGCACGCGATTTAGGAATGATTCTATCAAACTATCTTACCTGGCGCACATAACAGATGTAACCACGAGGGTATTTAAAGGATTTGGATTTGTATTTCAAGAAGCAAAGAATTGCCAGGGCACATTTGCTGTTATTACATAATGCGTTAATTGGAAGCAAGCTGGAAAGTGGCAGTATGATTTGGAACCCTTACGAGTACAAATATACGCACTTGGTGGATGTAGAGCCAACTAACTTTATCTCTGTCTTTGTGTAGTATTTGTTGGGTGTGATAGGAGTGTTGCTGTTGAGTATCGTCGTATGTGTAATCAAAGCTAGTTGGTTATACATGAAATTGTAAGGGAAAACTGTAACCTATCACAAACAACCCTATGTTCCTACATGACAGCCTAGCCCAAACCGTACACTACTATATATACGTATATAGATAGTAGAGGAATCCTGTTACCGTGCGACCAAGGTAACAGACGGAAGGTGGGAAGGATCAGCGATCAGTGTCACAGACTCACAAGACTGATCAGATAAGCTGACTGCTAAAGGGGTTTTGGCCGCAGTGGGAGGATGCTGTAGTTAGGAGAGTTCCGTCGTCAATGAGACAGCGTTGATGTCTGGATTCAAAGAGATCTTTATTTGTAAAAAGCTGGACTATTTATATAAACTATATACATGTGTGCGTGTATATTACTATATTATTTTTAAATATAAAACAAAGGGAACGTCTACTCAGCAGGCAGATCTTGCACATTGCTATTTGGTCAGTGCACTGCTGAGTAGTTTATTATCGTCACGTGGCAAATTTATATCCGGTCAGGTTGTCTGTTCATGTCACGTGAACAGTGGAGAAACTTCAAAACAAGTTCCTTAAGTTTCTCTATTTAAGGAGTATGGAGTCTATCCATGTTACCCTTTTGATGTATCCTACACTTTTCGTAATGGGAATGGTAAGATATAATAAACTAGAAATAAGGCGTAATTTAACCTTGGCAAAACATGTCTTCCTCATCTTAAAGGGGTGATTGCATAACCCAAAAATGCTTAGTCACTGAAAGTAGTGATTCCTAAAGCCGATCTCTGGAGACGCACGATGGGACACATTTTACAAGTCTCAGTAGCTCGTACAAATATTTTAAAGTTTGCTCCTCTTACAAGGGCTATTAATTATTCAATAGCATTTTTGTTGAGGTCGATGTATTTGCATGCTCATTGTCGGAATTCGAGAAGGTGACTTTGCACAAATTCTTTCAGTTACATTGTTGAATTGCGATAACCCTGTAATGACATTGTTATTATGTTTAGATAAATATTTGATAGCTTGGAATGAATTTCGGCGAGTGTTTTCACATAACATATCGTCGCTTTACTTTCTCAAACTCATCTTAAAGTACAAAGTTACTGAAATGCAAAAAATGGATTGTATATACAAATTTTGCTGGCTGATTTCAAATCCAAATTAACTTCTTAATAAGAAATTTAAAATAATTAGAAAGTTTTGCCATCTCCTGAGTAATCACTCTTTATAAGATGCGAGTTTGAGAAAGTGAGGCATCGATATGTCGTGTGTATTAAGTTCATCCATAGATTCTGTCATCTATTGATCGTGACTAGACGTTATTAACAGGGTGAAGTCAAAAGTTGGACTCCTTTTTCTGAACATACAGTTATCTGTATGCTTTTTTTGTAAATCTCTAGTCCCACGGCAGCAAGCGGCGCAGCAGCAGCAGTCGCATGTCGGTGAGCACGGCGCCATCTACAGAATCCCGGGGTGAAAACGTCAACAAGGATCCCCTCATGGAGACCACTATGCTCACAACTTATACTGATTTTAAGGTATACATCAGTTTTACCACAAGAAAAAACAAACGACGTAAAATATATTTGTACTCTATGCTTACTTTCACAAATTGCTGCTATCTCGTTTTTTTTTTGTATTACAATAGGTAACAAGGCATTTCAATTTAAATAACATTACTTTTACTCTACAGGACTGTATAAACGAGAAGCAGATCAGTCGCAGTTCAATGGCTACTGCAAAAGAAATCATTCCCACGTTAAACGTTTGTCCCGTGTTAACAGAAGTGAAAACTCCTAAGAACACCCCAAAAAAAACTCCGAGGAAAAATTTCGCCGTGACGTCTAAACTAGCTAAGGAGAATATTCCCAGTATAAATATTATGCCTATGACTCCGAAGGGAGACCTGTTGACTACACCTAACAGGTTGACTCGATCGCAAATTAAGCTCAATAACAATGGCTTTGCCACGCCACGAGCTCCTTTAAGTGCTCACAAGCCTTTATCCCGTCAGAATACGGTCGCAACATTGAATACTCCACCTAACAAGTCACCCCAAAATGTCAGTCGCTCCAAATCCCATACGCATCTGTTCAAAGTAAAAAACCTGCCGCCAATTATCTGATAAACTATTTATTCTCAAACCGAAATTGTATATTATAATATTTGAGTTCAAATTGTATATCTAATATTTTGTTTTGATTCCGTGGTTAGGTTTTAGACAAACAATGTGTTGAATGTACGAAATGTGACCTTAAAACTATATTTCTATTGACAACAAACCCAATGCAGTTAACAAATATGACTTCTACCCTTATACATAGTATAAAAGTACTATCGCGGACACGGATTTTTAAATTCTTGTGTAAAGTATAGCTGTTGCCACCTATTATTGTTCAATTTGTAAAGATGTTAAAAATTTGTTTTCAATAGCGCTACCGTTGAAATAGAGGGCAATTTAGAATCCCTACCCGCCGGTTAGCATTATATGTAAATCATAAATGGTGAGTCTAAAGGAAGGTAAAAATGACAGAAAGCATGGTTTACTCTAACGGCGCTTGTACAGTCTATATGACGAGTGCTCGTGTCCGCGACAGTCCAGTTATTTTTCGGAGTTTGAGATGTTGATATGTATATTATAATGTCTAATTTGCAATACCTAATGGATAATTAAGTTGATAATTATGTACGTGCGTTTAATGATTATGAGTAGTTTGTTTTTGTGATTGAATTTATATTGTAGTATTATGACACGATTTGACGTTAGTTTTGTAAGCTTTTCGGGTTTCCCAATATTACGTGCCTATTTTTAGTTTTTGATTGATAGAATGTTATTATTTTAGAGATATTTTAAATGTAGTATAAAATATTATGGTACAAATATAAAGTCGTTTTATACAAATAGATACCTAATGCCCAACGTCCTTCATAATGTAATATAGAGTCGTTTCACGTTGATCGTGAGTCTCATTCAGCTTTAGCAATAGCACTTTATATCATTCGCTGTAATTGGCCAATAGTATCCTAGTATCCGGCAGCTTGGGACTGTAATTCCTTTATAAATCAACATTTAATTGCATATTGTTAATAACAAATTGCGCGATAGGTACTTAAGCCGGATCAGTATTAAAGCGTTTGCGATTAATATTTCAACCTCAAAAAAAAGGGTGTTATAAACTCTCTCGACATACGATCACGCATTACGAATACGCGTTGTTTTAATTTTTAATTTGTATACTTTAGTTTTAATTTTAAATGTGAATGGTTGTAATATATTTTCTTGGCATACATTTTTAATGGATTTTATTTTATCCTATATAAGACAGTTTTAGAAGTAATTTTGATTTATGTTTATCACAACAATGGTAGATAAGTACGACGTGTCTATAAATATAAATGTCTACAAATAGATATTAGGAGTGACAAAACCACCAAACATTAATTACTTTTTCATTTCATAATGGAATTCGTAGATAACTATACATTATAATGATAACTCATAAAAATGTTCATTAATTGAAAGGTAAATGATTATCTAATACATTTTTTTACATGGTGCCCCTAGTATTATTTTAAAATCCAACTTCAGCTTCCTGAGTAGTTTTAACCTACGATGCAGTAAAACTATTTTCGGAATTCGAAAAGAGTAATTAATATTTGGTGGCTTTAACGACTCTATGTTATTCCTTGTATCTATATGTAGACATTTATCTATTCATTTGGAACACCTATTCCGATCATTGGTGACCAGACACTGATGTGGAAAATAAATTGTCAAAATTATCTTACTATGTATTGAATGCAGTTAAATAAGAAAGTAACAGATGCGTGTTCCACCTATAATGTCATGGTCTACTAGATAATCTCACAATCATATCTATAAAGCTTTGTAACCATCATATCTTATTTAATTGTAAATCTTATATTTAGTTAGGTTACAATGTCGATTTATTTCGATTTCACAGTGGGCCCCAAAGGGCGTCGGTTTCGCAAGGCTGTCGATCAGGATAAAATTGAGATAGAAGCGTTTTGGAAACGTGAAGAAACTAAAACTTTGTTTAATGTTCAAAGTATTGGTTTGGTGATGTAAGTCATTTTCGATTTCGTTTGAAAAATAGTGGTATATCTTAAACAGTTCTACAATTGTTATGATGTGAAATGATGTATATGAGTTTGATACATGTCCCTGTATCTTGCTTGCTGAGGGAACTTAGGTTCTCGAATGAAGAAACAGTTGAAAGTATAAACCTTATATTTTTAACATGTAAAACATTGTACAAATATCAAGTTTAAGAAAATATTGACTATTAGGGCCTAAAGGGGACCGCTTATATATGGCTTGCTGATACAGAAGCGCAGGTGCACCGTCAAAGTCGCAGACTAGATATTGTGTGATAATTAGTGTTGGCGCGACTGCAGCGCCAAAGACGTGCCGCTGCAGCGCTTCTACAAGCGTCTAATTTGAAGGCGCTCTTCGGCTGCTAACAGATTGACTGCATGTTTGTTGTTATTGCGTGAAGTCGTAATCAACTTTATGCAGCTGAGACCACGACTGCACGAAGTTGATAACGACTCTCTTCACGCATTTACTGCATGCAGTCACAAGACACAAACAAGTTGATTACGACTTCGCGCATTAACTGCAAACGTGCAGTCAATCTGTTAGCAGCCTTTACAAGCCGCGGGACGAAAGCGAATTTTGTAACCATGACATATGGAACTGTCAATTGTGGAACTTACAAACAGATGTGAACCAAGAAATAAGCTGCGTGTCTTCCGGAGAATTCTCGCGCAGTCTCAGGAATTCCCGCAACTACCATATCGTATCTAGTTTGTACGTTACATAATTTGATATAGTTCATTATGCTATGTACAATTTCCTTACAAAAATTAGTTTCCATTCCGGTCCGCTGCAATGTAATTTGCACTAAAATTAAGTACGCCTTTAAGAGTCTATACTAACTCAAACGGCTTTGGTTGATTCCGAATAACAGTGAAAGTGTTGAATTAATTACTTTGGAAAAAATATATAGTAAAATTGAGGATATACATACACTGATTACTATACGGTGTGAAAACACGACTCCTTCCTAAAAATTTTCACGATAGAAAAAAAAGCAAACTTACTTCGAAATTTTACAAGAAAAACGATATACACTTTACAAATGGCTTTAATTTCGTTTGTAAAAAAATCAATTCTGAAAAAAATTAAGTAAGTAAGTGGTAAGACACTCTTAACACAATGTATTAAGAGTGCCTTTGGATTTCAAGCTTTTCTGTTGCAGCGACGACGACTAGGTTGTATGGATGCTCAATACAATTATTTTTAGAATTTAAATTGATTTCAATAAACATTATTTATTGTCATGGAAATTTTCATACCAGCCTGTATTGAATTTTTCATTTATAAAATTCTAAGGTCCCATAATAGGTGCTGTTTCATTGTGTGGATCCAGTACGACTCAATTGTTAGCAAACATTATAGGTATTAAAACAACGAAAGATACTCATAGTCCGTTGTCTGGCAATAATTATGCTATTTATATATAGGTAGCGAGCGCACGAAAGTGAACCCTACGTCAGTTAGAATGAAGATGGAATTTTCTCTTTCCCCTACTTAAGATACTCCAGGTTTTGTAACGATAATCCTGTATTTTTAGGGTACCTATCCTATTGTACATCACCCTGAACTGGTCCCATCTTGGTACTCGAGAACTATGTGTGACTAAAGTGCGCAGTCTATTACTTACCACTTACTTACACTTACTTTTTATTTATAGTGAACGATCAGCTCTGTCTATAGTTATGATAAATGAACAGATGAAAGTATTGGGATTGCTTGCATTGACCGACCATCCCAACATACCAGCTTTAGATCCTGCACACTGGGAGCTGTGGATCAGGAATATGTTTCAGTGAGTTTTTTAAGTGTCTCAAATGCGATAGTAAATAATTGATTTTAGTATAAAATAAAATCGGCTTAATTTGTCAACACGTAAGTACAAAAATTAACGCGATGAAATAAAGAAATAGTATTGATTTTATGTCATGTCTTGCCAATGTATTTATTAATTTATTTTTGAGTGTAATTTGTTCTTTAGTATGTAAGTAGGTACTTCCTGGCTTGAGTACAGTAGCACCACAAAACCACCCGTGCCTAGACTTTATTCGTGTGTGACAAAATCCAACTTTATATAGTTACTATGAAGTTATGCCGTACATATTAGTGATGTGAATCTATGAGGTGATGGCGCTGCGGAAATGACTCGTATAGATAGATCTTTAATCTTCACGCTTAGCGAGTCTAGACGTAATATTAATCACAGGCTATTGTAATGATTGTACGTAATGGACCTGTGTATCTGATTGTTTATATAGTGTAAAAATACGACCAGCTTAAATCGGCGGACAGACTGTAGAGAACATTAAATTTATCAATGTATATTTTGTGCTATTTCCATTGAAATGAGGTATAAATTTGAATGCTCTGCAGAGCATTTCTCTCTGCATCTCAGAGCATAGAAATGTATGCCTTATTTAAATTGTATTGGCTTAAAATATAGTAATACATTCATAAATTGAATGTCCTTTGTCTTGCGGATCACCGCCGGTTTGCACACTTACCTATTAACGCGCAATCAGCTTGAGCCGATCAGAAAAGCATTACATGTCTGTTTGTAACCTCTTCTTCAATTGAGACTCATCTGGATTCTATTGTCAAAATGTATATTCAGTTTCGTATGACTATGTTTGAGCTTAGAAAATTGTACTATTGTCTAAACAATAGGAATATATATATATATAAAGATAAAGATAAATTTATTTCTGTATAAAATATTAACCTAAATACATACATAAATCCTATTAAATAACCTATTATTTACATATATGCGCCAAATTGTCGCAAACAATGAAATTATTTTATGTTTACATTACTTTAATTAAGGTTAGTAGTTCAAATTAATCTAGGTGATACCTAAACTAAGTAAAATTGTTTACTTGTGTCTTATATATATACATATACAATAGGATTTGTGCAGTCTCGGATTTGGAACGAATACGAATCGGATGCAGTGCGTTTGTGGGTGCTTTTTTGCCCTTATTACATGGACTTTATTTTTCTGATTGGCTTCTTGCAATTCCGTACCGATAGTGTGAAGGCTCCCGAAAACAACGTTCAGAGTTCATATCCAACGAATTTTTGCATACCACATACGTTACATTTTATAATATGCACCAGGCGATATGCACCGTGTATTTAGGAGGTTATTAGCTCCCATTTCGACAGACTACGAATTTAATTAATAATAATAATGTGCCAGACAACCACACCAATAACCACATAACAAAAGTAACCCAGTAGTGATCCCATGCAAACTTTTAAAGGGTAGCAATTCGGTTTATTGGATTACACCCTCTTTCTGTTAACCCATTTTAATGAAAACCCCTAAATAGATGTAATTACACTAATTTTTGAGGTCGTTTTATTTTTATAAAAAGTTTCATAAATATTTCGGATCTAAATCTTTTACGTTAAAAGACTATCATAGATTAATGTTGATTCCGTGTTCCAGGAAATTCTACCTGTCCAGAGATACATTGTTTATCGATTTCGTCTGTTGCCATGACTCCGTTACTGAATTCTTTTTGGATGAAGCATTACTTTCAGTGTTTCTTAACGACTTCTATTTGAAACATATTGTTCTAGTCGTGTCGCCCGCGTGTTCTGAAGGCAAGTATTTATTTTGTATCTTAGCGACAGCAACAAATATGATAATATATCGCACTGTTAATACAATAGTTGTTGTAGTTAACTTGACTGACTTTCTTAGAATCGATGAAAAACGAATTACTCACTTCCCGCAAAAAAAAATCATTAAAATTTATAATATGTTATCGTTTATTATAGACGCTTAAGCAATTTCTCAAATATATGTAAAAATAATTTCATGTTTTTGAATAAGGATTATTTTGGCCAGAACTAGCTCACGTAAAGTGTGTGATGTGTGTGTGTGTGTGTGTGTGTGTGTGTGTGTGTGTGTGTGTGTGT